CGGTCGAGGTAGGGGTCCGCCGTATCAATACGGCCCGCAGCAGCATTCTGGTGTTCCCTCCTTCGGCCAGCAACAAGTCGGCTCACAGCAACACCTCAGCGGCCAACAGGGGTTGCCTCCACAGGGAGCAGGGTCGAGCCAGTTGGGGTATAGCTTCGGTCAACACGGTCAGCATGTTTCATTTCAGGGGGTGGCTTCTCCTCGTCCACACACTTCAGGTTCTGCATATAATTCAGCTTTGTCATCTTTAAATACTAATCCCTATTTTATTTATGATACTCATAAAAGCACTGCAGGTTTTCCATCGGGTGAGGGCATCCTGGGTTCTGTTCCACCTCCCATTGTCTGTCAATTGTGTTTTTCTGCAGGTCATTCTGCTCTTCAGTGTCCATCTCGCTTTAATCAGTCATCTGCTCCAGCTCTTCTGACCTCCAATACTGGTGAAACCAATTCTGCTTTATGGTACCCTGACTCTGGGGCTTCGGCTCACATGACTCCTTCGGAAGGTATTTTAGTTAATAAAATTCCTTATACCGGTCCACTTTCTGTTAGTGTCGCTAATGGCTCTAAACTTCCGATAGCTAATATTGGGGATGTGCATTTGAATTCTTGTAGCCGTTCTCTCACGTTAAAATCTGTTTTTCATGTGCCTCATATTAAATTTAATTTATTATCCATTCAAAAACTTTGTGCTGATAACAACTGTGTTGTAATTTTTGATAAAAATTCCTTTTTTGTTAAGGACAAAACTTCGGGGAAGGTCCTTCTTCAAGCACCTAGTCATGGTCATCTCTATCCAGTCAGCGTCAGCCCCAAGCTTCCACTTGCATTGTCTTCCATCACTTCATCTGGCCCTGTGTGGCATCGTAGACTAGGCCATTGTGGCACATCTATTTTACGTAGTTTACATAGTCAGCATCATATTAGCAGTAGCTCTAGTTTTTCTCACGATTGTATTTCTTGTCGCCTAGGCAAATCACAACGCTTACCCTTTACGGATGCTAGTCATAACTCTACTATGCCTTTGCAATTAATTCATTCTGATGTTTGGCAGTCTCCCATTTTATCTAATTTGGGGTTTAAGTATTATGTGTGTTTTATTGATGATTTTTCTCGCTATACTTGGCTCTTTCCTATGCGAACTAAGGCTGAAGTTTTTCATCACTTTCAAAATTTTAAATCCTTAGTTGAAAATCTTTTTAACACACGCATTAAAATTTTTCAAAGTGATGGAGGGGGTGAATTTGTTAATTTTAATATGCAGCAATTTTTTGATCTTCATGGCATATATTTTCGAAAATCCTGTCCTGAAACGCCTCAACAAAATGGGGTTGCTGAACGCAAACATAGACATTTATTAGAACTCACTAGAACTATGCTTCTCGAAGCATCACTTCCTAGTCAGTTTTGGGTAGATGCTATTTTTACGGCTACATATATTATTAATCGTTTACCCTCTCCTTTACTTAGCAATCGGTCTCCATATGAAAAACTTTTTCAAACATCACCTGATTATTCCTTTATGCGTGTGTTTGGTTGCTCCTGTTTTCCAAATATTTCGGCTACTTCTGCCAATAAACTCTCTGCTCGATCTATTCATTGTGTATTTATTGGATATGCATCTGGCTATAAAGGGTATCGTTGTCTTGAGCCTAAGTCCGGTAAAGTTATTGTCAGCCGTCATGTTCGTTTTCTTGAAAATATTTTTCCATATAAATCATTGTTGTCCTCCATACCTGTCTCGACCTCTTCCCCCGATAATACTGAGTTTCACTTGACCAACACCCTTAGACCATCACTGTCACAACCCATCCATTCCTCTCCTCCACACCAAGCTGGTCCAGCTTCGACCTCGGCTCCAGCCGCAAACCGGCCGGCTGCTACCAGCTCGGCACTTCTTCCCACTTCACATTGCCCGCCTCTTCACGCTACCCCGGTCAGCTGCTACAACCAGCCCCACCTATTCCTCTTTCACTCCTTCGGACCAAACCCCACCCGCCTCTCCACACTGCCCGAACGCCCAACAGCAAACCCACAGTCACACCGCCACACCTCCATCGCCCAGACCGCATATTTCCTCCAACACGTCCAGCCAGTCCTCTTCTCCTTGTTCCGTTGCATCATCCTCCCCGTTGAATATTCATCCTATGCAAACCCGGGCTAAGTCCGGAATTTTTAAACCTAAATCAATTTTTACGTTAAACACAGTTGTTAACTCAGCGGATCCAACTTGTTTTTCTGAGGCTCATAAGAGTTTGGTTTGGCGTGAGGCAATGGCTGAAGAATTTAATGCACTTATTTCTAATAATACTTGGGATTTAGTTCCATTTGATGGCACTAAAAATGTGGTTGGGTCTAAGTGGATTTATAAAACTAAATTCCATTCGGATGGGTCAATTGAGCGTCATAAAGCTCGCTTGGTTGCACAGGGCTTTAATCAGCAGGCTGGGATAGATTTTTCTGAAACTTTTAGTCCTGTCGTTAAACCCACCACTGTTCGTATTGTTCTTTCTCTTGCTATATCTTTTGGATGGGTTATGCGTCAGTTAGATGTCAAAAATGCGTTCCTTCATGGCTATCTTACTGAAGAAGTCTATATGCGACAACCGCGGGGTTTTATTCATCCCCAGTTCCCTCATCATGTGTGTCGTCTGCGTAAGGCTATTTATGGTCTTAAGCAGGCCCCGCGGGCTTGGTTTCATCGTTTCAGTAGTTTTCTGCTTACTCATAATTTTGTATGCAGTAAATCTGATAATTCCTTATTTATCTTTCACCATGGTCAGTCAGTTATTTATTTATTATTATATGTTGATGATATTATTGTGACTGGTAATTCTCCATCTCTTGTGTCTGCCTTTATTCGTCGTATTGCGTCTCATTTTGCTATGAAAGATCTTGGCGACCTCCACTATTTTTTGGGGGTTCAGGCTGTTCGAAACTCTAAAGGAGTATTTTTATCTCAACAAAAATATGTGTCTGATCTTCTTCTCCGTTTTCATCTACACACTCTCAAGTCTGTTCGTACACCTCTTGCCACTCGCACAACTCTCTCCCTCACTGATGGTGAACTTCTTGCAGATGCCACTGAGTATCGAAGTATGGTAGGTGCATTACAGTATTTAACTTTGACTAGGCCTGATATTACTTATGCAGTTCATTTAGTGTCTCAGTTCATGCATGCTCCACGCACTACTCACATGCTTGCTGTCAAGCGCATATTTCGGTATTTACAGGGTACTATTGATCATGGATTATGGCTTCAGGCTTCTACTCATCCCATTCGTCTTTTGGCCTATTCTGATGCTGATTGGGCAGGATGTCCTGATAGTTCTCGCTCTACTTCTGGTTTTGCCATTTTCTTAGGACCGAATCTTATATCATGGAAGTCCAAGAAGCAGCCTACTGTGTCCAAGTCATCTACTGAGGCCGAATATCGAGCAATTGCATACACAGTACAGGATACCCTTCACATTCGTTCCATACTTTTTGAGTTGGGTCTACCGATTCGTATTCCTGTTCAGCTATTCTGTGATAATATATCAGCTTCATATCTGACAGCTAATCCGGTGCAACATGCTCGAAGTAAACATATTCAGATTGACTATCATTTTGTTCGGGAAAGAGTTGCTCATGGTGATTTGGTTGTTCAATACGTTCCTACACATCTCCAACTCGCGGATATTTTTACTAAGAGTTTAGCCAGTCAGCAATTTCATTTTTTAAAAGACAACCTGCGCGTTGTATCTCCCGCACAGCTTGAGGGAGTGTAATAGTTTATATTAATTAGGAATAATTATGTATTTTGGAAACTTCCTTTTATTATAAATATACCTGCCAGGGCTCCTATTGGAGTACGGCTTTTCCATTATTCTCACATATAGTTCCCAATTCGTAAATTAAAAATAATATTAGTAAGTTGCAGCACGGCACAGTGGCACACATTGACACCCCGCAAGGTGAGTGTGCCAAGGATGTACAGAGAGCTAGGTAGTTTACTCGCTACTCGGTAGCTACTCGGTCAAGGGCCGAGTAACGAGTATGACCGATTACTCGGGATTACTCGGTGATTACTCGGCCTAGTATTAATTAAATATAAAAAATATATTTAAATATAGTAGTCTTAAAATATAGTAATAAAATTGTCTTTAAATTGTCTTAAAATGTTTAGAAGTGAATAAAAGGATAGAAATTATCTTAAAATGCATATAATACGTATACAATACCAGAATACAACTTCAAGAAGCACGAGCATTGGAAGAAAAGGCAAATATTTTCTGCTGTTTTTTGGCACCTATTCTTATTCCAATTGAAGAACTTCAAAGTAACTTCAAAGTGGCACCTACCGAACAACTAGTCCTCAAAGGTAGTTCCCTAAATGAAAATTGCAGCTCACCCAAAACCAAACATGATGCTTTTTTGCTAAGCTATATTTTTCACCTTTTCAATTAAGAGATTTTATTTAAGCATTCAGCAACTCAGTTCTCAGGGGTACATTCAATACATTCACTTTAGTTGGCCAAAGACTTGAAAATGTACAATGAAAACACCGGTTTAAGAAGCACAAGCAAACGAAGAACAATCCAAAATTCTCAGAGTTTATTACAGTATACAGAGAAGAATATAATAGGCGACATGAGGGAGAATAAGAAACAACACAGAGGATAATCTCAATTTAATTTTTTTCCAAGCGGAGGTAATGTTTTTTTTACATACCGAGTACTCCCGAGTAAATCGCCTTTTTGACCCACTGACCGAGTTGCTAACTCGCCGAGTACTCGGCGAGTAACTCGGAATAATAACTCGGGCCGAGTAATGTGCTACTCTGCAAGGTCATAGGCCGAGTAGGGAGTACTCACTGAGTACTCGCTGAGTACTCGCCGAGTAAATAATCCAGACAGAGAGCAAGCCTTATTTTTCTCTTTTACAAGAGACCGCTCATAGATTTGAACTTATGACCTCTCGGTCACACAACAGCGCCAACCAGTGCATCACGGCTCATCTTGTTCATAAATTCTACTTGAAAAACAATTGCCATTATATAACACTACAAATATCCTCAGACTATGCTTGCCTTCATGCTGCTACACTACATGCATCAATTGATGTAAGAAGGCTTAGAAAGAGGTAAATGTGCAATGGGAGAATGATTTTTACATTTTTTATCCTAAAGTAAAGCACAGTTACTCATTCTTCATCAGCATCACTGCCATCAATCTCAGCATCTTGATTCACTGCATCGTTGTTTCCCTCCGGGCGTAATATCATATACCTAATTTGTTCCAGTGCAAAGATTTAGAAAAAAAAAAAGAAGTTTTCATACTCTTTTGAAAATCAGGTTCCGTTTGGTTGGTAGTCTCACCTGGCTCATTCTGCTAAGAACAAGCAGAATAACCAGAGCTTTTGACTCACTTATTTAGCTGAAATACCAAATACCATAGGGACTTGGCGTGAGAAGAACTCCAAAAGGGAAGCATCGTTTTAATACCTCTCCAGAATGAATCTTCCTTCCTTGTACTTCTGAGGCTTTTCATGTGCAAGCTCCTGAAATCAACAGAATATAAAGCATTATTAGGTAAATACATAACAGAAAATGGTGTTTGGCAAATGTAAATGTGAGAAGAAGATCAAGCTTACGTATTTCCAACCAAGAAGAGAGCCACAACCCACACAGAATATGTCAACAACAGTGTGCACTCCGGTCAGCATCATTCTCTCTTCTTTCTCACCATATGTAACATTGACACTATGCAGCATAATAGGATACTCAGCATTACTCAAAACTTCGTACCATTTACACGTAAACAAACAAAATCACATAAAATGTAAGCACTGAAGAAGCAAAAGAAAATTCTTACACTTTATCAAACAGATAGGCCTTCCCATGACTGCAGTGGAATGACTGGAAAGAAAACATAACATTTGGGTGAGCATATAGCAGAGGATAAGAGGAAATGCGACAACTATATGCAGAGATAAAAAAGATGGATAAATCTCCCTCATTCTAAAAAATGAAAGCCGGGTTTCAAAGACTTTTTTTGCATAAAAAAAGGTCCAATTTGATCAAATTAAGCTAATCTATCATGTAAATTTCCAAAAATGGCAAGAGATATAAAGAAGTTACATATGATAAATTTGGTTAAACCATCAAATGAATTTTGAAAATGAAAGTGTGATTCATGAGATATGAAAAAAATTGCAGTTGTACTTGTCCGAGTTAAAAAGTTGTGCGTAGACAAATGAGCCACTTTTGGGGGGTGAAGACAGTAGTTAACAAGTATGGTTAAAGTATATGAATCAAATGGAAGAATGACTATTTATTTGATATGTTAACACTAGAAACCAAAACTTTTGGGATTAAGGCTTGAATGTTGTTGTTGTTGTTGTTAACACTAGAAACCAAATATAAAAAAACAGAACCATACAGCACATTGTGACTCCAAAGAAAAACAGGCATCAAGGCATGCTAGATTACTAGGATTCATTGTCAGTTTAAGTTCTTAATAGGTTATTAGGCTGTCCTGATCAGTGGCTAATGGAAGAAAGATCCACTTGACAAACTGAAGTGTGGTCTGTTGGACAACAACAAATATAAGAACTAATAAGCCTGGAAGATTACCTTCAAAACTATGCCAATCAAATTCCTTTACCTGTTTAGTCCCTGCACCCCGTGCATTCAAAAACCTCCTTGATTTTGGAAATCAACATTAGCTTAAGCCAGTTATTTCTAAGTGTATGTTTGGCGGGACATTTCATCTGTACTACAGATGCAATGTTGCAACTTCATCTATCATTTAACAAAAAATCTTCGTTTACTCGGTAGATGAAAATTCAAAAAGAAAAATGAGAGATACTTGAAGTACATTTTCATTTAATCAATTACACTTAATATTTTGCATCCCATGTTCTCAAAGTTTTATCGAATTGCAATAATTTACTTCTTCATCATTAGTATATATGTTACCATTTTATGGCAATCTATGTTTTCATCAATCATTTTATTTAATAGGTCAGACATGTCTGTTCATTTCATCTTACACTTCATCTAGATCTGCCCTCATTTCATCTTCCCCATTTCTCCTCATTCATATACCATATCCTCTTTCATCTAGAGTTTTATATTGTTGTGTCAAACATTAACTCAAAGATAGATATACAGAAACACGAAAATTGTGCTTGTGCTAACTGCTTAACGCATTTCGCTTTCACAACCGATGTCTATCGAAACAATAATCACACGAATTTCAAAAGCCATTATAAACAAATTAGAAGATCACAAATATATATATATATATATATATATGAATGCTCTAGAAGAAATGTAGTAGAAATATCCCCACAAGGATGCTCATGCGCACACACATTGCTTACAAAGAGTTAATAGAGAGACCTTAGACAAAATGTCATCCTCAAGGGCCAGATGCGTCTTACAGTACTTGCAACCATAGAAGTTGCCTTCCAAGTAGGTGAGGAAAAGCCTACCCATCGTTTCTTCCCCTTCTTGTTCTAACAATCAACAAACAAGCAAAGTAATCCTTATTAGACCAGGTAAGCACAAATGAAGATAAAAAATGAAAACCATACAAATTCAGATTCAGATAGCCGAATGAAAAAAACGAGGTATAGCATTGACAGCATCGATCGTAAAACAAGCATCGCTTGAATTAGAGAACGAAAAGTGAGAAAACGAAAGGAAGATGATCATCACCTCACCTTACTAACAGTTGAGAGAAGGGACAAAAAGGAGTAATCGTCAAATCAGACATTTGTGAAGGTATCGCCAATTTATAATCTCGATTTGAAGACTGGAACTATGATACGGTCATACGGACATTCGAATCTGAAAAAATAAAATGTTGTGCATAGGATTTGGAGCAAGTTGAATAAAAACGGGAGAAATCAAGTTTGATTTTTATGTATGAACAATGCTTTTTTTTTTGCAAAAAGATTAATTTATTCAGCATTTTTTACAATTTATTTACATAAATGTATCATTGATGTTTACCAATAATGGTACTTATGTTTAAATTCAAAATTATTTCCTTTGTTTTTCAATGTTTTTAATGAAGTTAGCTTGTTAAGATCGACAGTTTCTCTCTCTAGAGAGCTCTGGAGCAGTGCCGCCTCCTAGGGTTTTCCTAGGGGCGTTTGTCCGGCCACGGTCGTTCGATCGTGGTGTGAGTTTGGATTTTGCGTCTATTAGTTGTTGATCTCGGCATAGCAGATCGTTTTTCTTGTTTCTTTTTTGGGATTGGAGTCATCGACCTAATCGTTTTGGGATCTTTCTTGGTTGATTCGAGCAAGACATTCGGTGGTTGTTTTAATTGTGCCTGAGGTGTTCGGTCTCGACAATGAACAGGTTCGAAGTTTCCGGCAAAAGGTTAGTGCAACAATTTTGCAAGGATAGCTCCGTGGACAAATACAAGAAGATGGTGAATGGGGCAGAGGAAGAAGAACTGGATCTAGATGAAGCTGATGGTGAGGTGGTGGCGGATGAGCGGCGGACGCGTCCCCCTCCTGAGCCGCTGCCATGGAGTGCAGGCAAATCTAGGGTTTGGAAGACTTATCTTATTTCTTTTGTTAGTTTTTCTAGTGATTTTTATGTCTGTCTTGTTATCTTCTTTTTCTTTATTGTTCCTATTTGTAAGACGTTGATTTTGGATATGGGGAATGAGAGGAATATGGTGACCGTTTTTTGTTTTTGGTTTCCCATTTATGGATCAGCGAATTATATTGCTACGACGATTAATTCCGAGTTTGATTCGCGGGATAACGGTTGTCAGATTTCTTTTTGTCATTTGACTCATACTCTGAATTTTATTGGTTATTAATATAAACCGAATTTTTCCAAAAAAAATGTTTTTTATGAAAATCATGATGTATAACATCTGAGAGAAATGATTATTCATTTTATGGTCAAATTTGAAAGTCCTCGCAAAAAAATGAAAGATCAAACGTCATTCTTCAGTCAATATTACAGAAGACGATAAAATGCAAGGGTCGTTCACAACCATTTTGTGTAACACTATTATTAAAAACACACACATATGAACTTTTTTAATAATATTTTATTCATTCACAATTATTTAAGAATAAGATTAAGACTTTTGGGCCTTATGTAATTTAAACTCTTTAATATATACTCCCTCCGTCCCATTTTGGTTTTCCTACTTTTCTTTTTGAGTTGTCCCAAAATGAATGTCTTGTTTCCTTTTTTTGGCAAGAAATATGTGGTCCTTATAATTTTACTTTATCCTTTTCAAATTTCAACCACAACTTTTACTTTTCAACTATTTTATTAATTATCGTGTCAAATTGAAAGTGGACAACCAATATGGGAAGGAGGTAGTATATATATTTGATCATTATTGCTCTCAGTATGGTAAGCCTAATTATTACTCCCTCCGTCCCAATTTGTAAGATACATTTCGGTTTACGATGTTTGACTGACGATAAAGCAAATTGATCCCTGTCAACACCCAAATTAGTTCTAGAAAATAAAATTTACATATTCAAAAACTACATTAAATCCGCTACAAAACCTGCAAAAAATAATTCAAACTTCATAAACTTTTGATATATAAAATAAAAGTTTAGAAGTGATTTATGTTGACCAAGTGAATAGTAAATGTATCTTACCATTTGGGACTGAGGGAGTATATTGCAAGCCTAGGTTATTTTTTTCATCTGTGTCATAGCTTCCTCCAATATTTTATGTCACCATTGTTGCATCAACTTCAATCAATGTGTTGATGGCTCCTATGGTTGAAGTTGAATATTGTGTCATTACTTCCTTTATTTCGTTTAATCTCATTAGTAACAAATACATTAGTTACAAATACATTAGTAATCATTTTGTTCCGGCTCAAGGTTTTCTTGTGATTCATTATGTTTCTATTCAGCTTCAGCTTGCAGACATTTCTATCAAGAATTTATCTTCAAGACTTCAAGCATTTTTCTTTTCTCCTGGACAATCGGCACGTATTTCCTCCTGTAAAGCTTGAGAGTGTGATAATGTAATTAAACAGTTAAAGTTATCAGTTTGATAAGCTTAATTATTACTTTCACATATGCTATGAATTTGAAGTTGAGGTTCGATTGTGCATGAAATTACATTGTTGAAGTTGAGGTTCGATTGTGCACCTAATTAAACTGTTATATTTACTTGTATGAAACCAGACCTGCTACAAATTGTATTTTAACCCATATAACCGCAGTGTATATATGGCGGTATTTCGAATATATAAATGCCCTCAATAATTTAATGGTAGTTCAGTTCCTTAATTATAAATGTTTCACTAAATGTTTCAAATTCGAATGCTATCTGAACTTCTAGTTTTGTAACGATTTGTTTTGTACTTAGAATAATAGAAATTGTATCAATCCTAACCTATGGCATGACTAATGCATTAGTTGTCATGAAAGCGGATTAAAATAAAAAGTAACTATAACAAATGAACAATAATATACTTATATACTCCGTATTTGTTCATGCTTTTGTGAGGTTTTAACTGAAAAGCGTGAATATAAAAATTCCAACCATATATGATTAAAATTAATTGATGATGATATCGTATTAATTGACTTTTTTAAATTACTAATAGATAGTGTTGGGTTATTGGATCAAGGCCGAATAATAGCCCAAATACCCCATATGGCTCAATCCGCACAAGTACATTTGTAATCTGGCCAAGTAAGGAATGACATGCGGGGGCAGCTATCTCGACCCATTCCTTTCACTCCGGCTTCTCTGCTTAAGACATCAGTCATCCCACACAAAACTCCTCCAAACAGTTGGCGGGAAATAGGGATGGACTCGGGCCGGGCCAACCGGCCCGGAACCGGACCGGCCCGGTCAACCGGTTCGGTTCCGGTTCGGGCCTCCAGGCCCGGTGGTATACCGGTCCGGGCCCGGGCCTCCAGTTTAGTGAACCGGCCCGGCCGGGCCGGGCCCGGTTCGGGCCGGAATTTAATTTTTTTTTTTTTTTTTTGAAATTTTTTTAATTTTTGGGTTGGATTAGGTATTTTGGGCCATTTGAGGTGGTTTGGGGTGGAGGGGGAGGGGTAGGGGGTTAAATAAGAGAAGAAGAAAAAAAAAAAAAAAAACATTCCGGGTGGCCCGGCCCGGCCCGGCCCGGTTCTGGCCCGGAACCGGAACCGGAACCGCCCACCACCGGTTCGGGCCCGGGCCTCCTTTTTCTGAACCGAGGCCCGGCCGGGCCCAGGCCCGAACCGGGCCCGAACCGGAACCGGTCCACCCCTAGCGGGAAATCTAGAAATTGGCGGAAGCGCATTTAATGAATTAGATATGAAATATTTTATGGTTTGAGTTCATCCACTCATGGTTGGACACATCACCCCCTCCACTTGGCACCTGCTACCTTGTAGTATAAATAACCTTTTATTTCATGGTAAGGGATTGACAACTTTGTATTCTTAGCATATATAGACATCTCTCTAGCTTCAATAAAATTGGATTCCCTTTACCTCTAACCAGGAACGGTGCTATGCATACTAGTATACTACGTTTAGGGGAGCCTTGCCATCTCCCAACGTTTTAATTTTTTCAATTATTGTCTTAGTAGAATAGTATTGCAAAAAAATATGCTTTGTAATTCTCTTATCATTTTTCAATACCACATTAGACTGAATATCATATCTATAAATGCACTATGTTTCTAGGAGTAGTTATTTGGAAATATTAAATCTATAACAATGTTATATTTTGAAGGAGTAGTCATTCCATCATAATAAATACTCCTTACGTAGCAATATACTATCTATTATGGAGTAGTACTGGAAATCTTTGACTTAAAGTGTCCAATATAAAAGAAGTATGAAAAAATTGGGATGATAATAAATTTAGAAAGAAGTGGTATATTACCCTTTGCCCCCCACCACCACCACCACACGTCCACACTCCATCCTGGCTCCGTCCCCGCCTCTAACGAAGTAACTCCTACCAAAGCCAAAAGACTGTGTAGCAGTGTAGGGCTTTTGGACCTCCAGGAATAAACCTCAATGGATAGAATAATAGTCAATAAGACGGCATCAGTTTTGTATAACCAGTAACCACATTTTCTATATATGAGGATACAAAAACATAATACAACCAGAGTGATCCTGCTTTTTAATTTTTCAAGTCCTGCACTAATTAGATTTCTTTGTTTTCCACTATAGCTGACATATTATTTCATTGTTTGCTTGCTGGAATGTTAATAGAATTCCGAAGTACCAACATGCCATATACATGAAATGTGAAGTCATGAAGCTCTTTTCACCAAGCTTTTCCTTCACCTACACAAGCAACTATAGATCTGCTGATCATGATCCTTTACTATGGTAGTCAAGTAGTGTAGATTGGACTTGGTATCCAAGAATAAGAAGTCTTATTATCATGCATTCATGCGCTAATTGACCTCTGCTATGACTGTGAGTATCATGGTCATGTTACACATGCTCAAGAGTCGAGAGTATGGAAATTATAAGATGATTAAAGATTTGAAGAGCAGACTGTATTGTTGGATTTGAGGGCGTACCCGACTACATTGATCAGCCTTTCCCACTATGCATGTGTTTCAGTTTTGATAGAAACCGAATTGTCAGTTCCGAGTCTAGGATACAATTCAAGCAACAATACCAGAACGTCACGGGCTTGCACGGTTTTGGTTTAAGACTAGTTATGAATCTTTGCCCTATTTTGAAAGTACTTGAAGTTGTAACCTTTTTGAAAGAAAC